TTATTTTAATATAAAAATAAAAATTATTTTTTAATAAAATTATAAATTTTAATATAGAGAGAAAATTTTAATTTTCACTATATTTTATTAATAAATTTAGCTTCTGAGTTATTACTTTTGATTACCACTATAGAATTATATAATTATATTAATTAAATATAAAAATTATTTTAAATTTAAAAAATTTATTGATTATAATATTTAATAATTATAATTTAGAAGTTAAATTATCTAAAATTATAGATAAATTTATATTTTTTTCTAAAAATCATTATTTTACAAATTTATAATATGAATTCAAAATTAAAAATAAATTAAATTTATTAATTATTAATTCTATATATTTTTTATTTATTATAATATTTTATTTTTATTAATTCATCTAATTAAATTAGTATAAATTATAACTTCTATAGAAAAAATTTGTTATAGAATATTAATTAATTTGAAAATAATAACAGATGATAATTTAGTTTTATTTGTTATATAATCAAGAATAATTATAAAATTAGACTTTTTATAATTATAAGTTTGAATAAAAATAGTATTAGCATTATAATTATTAATTATTATATAATTAAAAGAATCAAATAAAGATATTTCATTTATATTGCCAATTAAAACAAGAAAATAATTATACTGAATTCATTAATATAAATAAAGCTTAAAAATTTATATTGTAATAGTTATAGATCATCTAGAAGTTTTTGAATTATAATAATCTGGTGATAATTACTTAACTTGTAATGAGCCATGAAGTCATTAATCTATTTACTAGAAAATTGATTTTGGATAATATTGGAATAGAGAGTAATATATCATGATTGTTGTGATAATCTTTTCATTTTGATTTAAATTATAGATCATGTTATAATCTTTTGTTTTTAATGCAATTTCTTTATCCAATTGTAAATATTCTCTTTTAATTCAGAATATTTTGATGGCTTTTCTTTGTTAATTCATCAAATATGGAATGAAACATGCATTAATTCTTTTTCATTACACTAATCTCTTACTTGTTTTGGCTCAATATTAAAAGCAGTAGCTATTGCATGAATACTATGACTTTGATGCTTATCAAGATAAGCTATAATAGCGAGTTTTTCATATGCATTCCATTGCCATCTTTTTTTCAGTAATACAAGTGCATTTTATTTGCATGTGGTATTTTTGATCATATAAAATAAATGGACAAAAAAATTAAATCTTTGATATCATGTTTTTTGTTTTTATATAAGTAACTTGTGTACTTTCATTACACAGTATCCCCTTGCTATAGTACCCTCCCCCGTGAATAGTACCCGGGGAGGTACTATTTAGGAAATTTTGTGGTTTCTTGAATAGTACCCCGGGTACTGTAGTCAGTGCTCTATGGTAAAAGTAAAAATAAATACATAACAAGATGAATCATTATATATGATTTTCATTACTAAGCAACGATATCGATGAGTCATAAGGCCAATTTGGATCGTGGGAATATATCATAAACTCTAAACTACCCAACTGGTATTTTTATTATTTATTTATTATTATTAGTATTATTATTAAATATATATATATATATATATATATATCTTGGCGGTTTTGCCGCGCTCAAATTTTAAGCTTGCAAACCGGAAAAATATTAACTACAAATCAATTGCTTCATTTTCTAGTTATTAACAAAGAGCAACCTTGCACTTATTTTCGCACACTCTGTCTCCTCAAACTTCTAAAAGTACGTAGAATGAATACGACTCTGTATTCTGGTTTTTTTGATTTCGTTTATTAGTTACGATTCGTTATTTTTGGTGTTTTATTTCTACTAAATAGATTAAATTTTTTCTTTTTTATGCGAGCCATTGAATGTCACTTTCTTTTACCAACTTTTTGTGGTTGTGAACAATTGAACCCTTTAGTTTCTCTACGAGAATTAGCTTTATTCTTTTTCATTATTTATAGCAGATTAGATGTACTCGGTCAATTATTTAAAGGGGTTTCTTCAGATCACAAATACAACATTACGATCTTTGTTTTATCCTCCTTCTTTTCTATCGATACGCGTTTTCGTTACCTCATCAAAATATCCAAATTCTCTTCTAAACATCTACTATTTTCTTTGTTCACTCATTATTCTTTGCAGAAGCGGTTCGATACATCGCCAACACAAGAACTTATCAAGCAATAATTAATTATTACCGCTTCTTGATAATTCACAGGTATATTATCTCATTACGCGTGCCAAACTAGCAAAAATGTCTTCGTCAATTTCTGTTGTTGATCAGTCAATAGTTAGTGAAGACATCAATAAAACCAAAAACATTAATAGCAACAATTTATCTTCTGCTGAAAATAATAACACTAATAATGAAAATAGTAATAGCAATAGTGGTAATACCACTAATATAACAACAATAGCAGCAGCAGCAGCAACACTGACAACATCTTCAACTAAATTATCTGAATATTTCCTGGATTCTGTAGATATATCTACATCAACGCTGCCTGTTATTAATACTAGCAACGACACTGCTGATTCTACTAGTACACCATCACCAACAACAATGGCAAATTCAACTTCAACAGCAACAAGGAGTGCACATGAACAACAACTACCACAACAAACATCACGACAATCAACAAATCCCTCTGTACGGCCACCATATCAAACTGATACAGAGCCACCGCGTGGAATTAATTTTAAAGTTATATTTCATCCTGGTTTACACGTGGATTACAGTGGGAAATATGAGAATAGGAAAGTGTACCGTTTAAATGGTCAAGTAGGGCCTCATGTAAGTCTACTATTTTTTTTAATCACGACCATATAAGAAAATATAACGAACGAATTCATTCAGGAATCTCCAATTCTATTGACGGACCCAAGATTGACTACCACGCAGAGGAAGCCTCGACTGAGGCAAGAGTTAAAGCAAGAACTGGAATTAACAGAATTTCTGGTAACTATGTAAACAAAGCTATATGCTATTTTTTTATAATTAGTCATGACAACAATAGCAATTAGAATAATAGAAATCTCTCATAAGAAACTTTTTCCTACTCTTATGTAATAGTATGATAAAAATTCAC